CTGAATGGACTTTTTTGTGGATGTGGAAGCTTTATGAATAATATACAGGTAATATTATAAAACAATTTTTGTGTTACACACATGTGTAATTTTTTGTTTAATGAAACAGCATGAACAACATGAGGATGATGATGAAATTATTATTGTTTTTAGAGAACTATCCCTTTAAGAGGACCACAGTTCAATGATATTTGTTGGTCCAATGGTTTTATGGACATATCGTTTTTTTTTTTTTTTTTTTTTTTTTAATGATTTGAATAGAAATTTCTGTAGGTGAATATTGCTGTTAATTATGTGTAGTTCTTTTGGTGCATATAAATTAAAATTATTTAAAAAAAAAACCCACCAAATATTTTGAATCTTTATTTCATTAAAATTACATTTCCTCCAATTAAAAATGAAACTTTTTAAACATTTTTTAAAGCCATTTTAGAGCATATAGAAAATAAATATGTATGAAATAGCAATTTTAATTTATTATTTATATATTATAGTATTTATTATATTATATTTATTATATTATCAATTATATATATTATATATTTTATTTTAGATATGGCCTTTTTGTATAAAAATGCGCGAATAACATGATGGTGAGAAAACAATGATATAATTAGCAATTATGAACTATCCCTTTAAAGGGAACAAAGCTCAATGGGGGTTGTTGTGTAGTCCAGTGGCTCAAGTACTGGGCTGGTAATTAAAAGGTTGTAGGACTGAAGTCCAGAAGGTGTGAGCTAACACCACCGTGCCTGTGAGTGAGTCACATTAAATGAAAGTGTCTGCCAAATACAAACATGCACATATAACTATAGCCACACTACAACAACAACAAGAATAACAAGTCACTCTACAAAGCTGACGACACCAAACAAACATGAAGAAACTACTCACGTCTTTCATTGCCTGTCTACCGTAAACTATGCACACACACACACACACCAAACACACACAGTAATACGACACTAACGTTTGAGGGAGTTCTATACCTTCTGAGAGAGACGACAGGAAGCAGCTTCCCTGAACCCCAAAACAACTTCTCTGTGCCACGCCAAGGCCGCCCTTCTCCGAGTCTTCCCTAAACACCACTTCCTGCAAAACTGGGATACAGCCGGGAGACAGGCATTTGCTTTTCTCTGTGCCACTGGACATGAATACCACTCCACAAACACACACAGACTCGCACTGCGACAGCCGACCGCTGGCCATTTCAACTCCAAATGCACTTTTCAGATAAAGTAGCTTCGAGAAACATATTTAAAAATATATTTTTGTAAAAGATCGCTTAGTCATCAAATAGAAGAACACTTATATTCCTAAACACATAAGTAAAATGCTTTATGGGCAAACATAAAATTGGATTATACTGCAAGAAATACTGTAATTCACAAACCAGAGCTGACATTAATCAGAATAGGATGATGAAAAATGTTAGTGTTACACTTAGTCATGTGTTTTACTGTTGCAAGTTTGCCAATGGAGTTTTTAAAATATAATTTAAGTCGGTTCCCCGCAATTAAAATCCGGCAAAATTCTGCTGTATATCAGTGGATGAGAGTGTATTACCTGGGTAAGGATGGATTCCATTGGTGAACATGGCCTCCGCTGGGGCCTGTCCGTTGGCCTGAGGAGGAGGCAGCCCTGTGAAACCGTTCACACTGATTGGAGATGGGATGCTGGTCACCGTGGGAGCCGTGATGCCAGGGGGCGTGCTTCCACCTGGAGGCGGGGCCAAGGAAAGGAGACAATATTTGAAATATTCATAAATACGTAATGGCTTTGCTGGGAATAGAGAGTTTCGAAGAATATTTAGGCAAAATATATGTAGGTAAATATTGCCGTTTTTAATATGTATTGTTGTATTGGTGCATAATACTTAAATAAAATTCATTATTTTTTGTGTTTACTGAGTGAAAAACACACCCTTATTATTTTTCATTTTATTTTTGCATCTAACGTTTTGAATCTTATAGCTTAATCAGTATAAGTTTGAAATAAATATAATAATAAATAATCATATATTATTTATATAATAAATTAGTTAAAATTTAACTGAATGGAGCATGCTCTTACACACCATCTCATCTGTGGATCTTAGCAAACACAAATAACAATAACAAAAATTACAATGACTCAAGAAGGGAAAAATGCTAAATGGTAGCCATGAATAATTAAAACACTTAAAGGAAAGGTTCACCAAAAAATCATTTGCTCACCCTCTATTCATTCACCCTGTATGAGTTTCTTTCTTCTGCTGAACACAAAAGAATATATTTTGAAGAATAAGGGTGATGGAACCACAATGGAAGTCAATGGGGTCCATCATCTGTCTGGTTATCAACATTCTTCAAAATATTTTCTTTTGAGTTCAACAGAAGAAAGAAACTCATACAGGTTTGAAACAACATGAGGGTGAGTAAAGAATGACTAAATGTAAATTTTTGGGTGAACTATCCCTTTAAGAACTGTTCACACCAAGGGTGATAAATGTAACAATAAAGATATAGATCTAAAAATCGTTCTAAACATAAAAAAAGCAAAATCAATACCACAACTATGACAGCTGCACACAGAAACAATATCAATGATATCACTTTCGATTTTTTTCCAGCTGATGAACGATGAAAACATCAACAGTCAATCAGAACCCACCAGACTTTAAAGAGCTCAAGCTTTTAGAGCAGCAGACAAAACGGCAGTATAAACACAATGATTTGTCGGCTGGTGTGGGCACTAATATAGTTATCATTATAGTTATTGTTTTTGGTGCGAATGGGCCTTCAGTCTGGAAAAGTCTGTGTGTGTGTGTGTGTTTCCTCACCTGATGTTGGGGTCATGGGAGCCCCAGGGAGGCCGTTGATGGTGGCCATGTGTTGCATCTGTGCGGCAGCAAAAGCTGCCATAGGGCTGAGATATCCTCCCTGACCCACTGATGCCATCAGCGCTGCCTGCTGCTGAACCTGACGGAGAAAAGCCCACACACACATACACACACACACACGATACTTTAATATATATAACATAATCATATAACGATAAAAGCACTGTGTATAACAAGACATCAGAGTCGACAGATTTTTCCACTGAGATGCTGCAGTTTTGTTGGAAATAGTGCATAATGAGAGAGAGAGAGAGAGCTAGTTCTTGCCTGTGCATAGGCACCGTACGCTCCAAACTGCAGGGCCATCGGATTGAAGATGCCCATCTGACCGGCCATCTGCTGCATGCGTCGAATGGTCCGTTCCTTATCTGTGTCTGCAAACTTCACCACCAGGCTGGAAGAAGCACCCTGAAACACACACACACACACACACACACACACATTTAGGATGCTTTGTGCCTTAAACGTGCTAATGATACAAAAGTGCATGATCAGATGTGCTGGCACTCACAGGCATAGTCTGGCTGCCGTGTAAAGCACTAATAGCGGCCTGAGCTTCTGCATGAGTGGAATACTTCACAAACGCACATCCTGAAGAGAGAAAAACTGTCAAAAACACCCTCTTCAACATTTACACACACTTCTAGATCAACATATTTTATTTTTGGGATTTCTCTACCTGGGTCCAGAGACAAGAAACCGTTTTTTGAACTCCAAAGTTATTTTTGTATAATATATTATTGTTTTATATTGTGTATAAATTAAAAAAAGCAACACAAAACTGTATGACATTTTAGTTTTAGTTTCTTACAAACGCTTGTGTTTAAATATACATTTACAGTATACGATAAAAAAATTGTAATTTAGCTGTGATACCACATAGCTTATTAATGCAAGTAGTTAATAATTTTAAAATCTTTTTAATTTTGTTATAATTTTTTAAAATGCTAAATATTTTCTTTTGGGAGCATGTTTTGGGTTAATCTATAATAATTGAATAATATTTTTATTATTACTAAAAAAAAAAACAGTAGAAGTCTAGGATATGTCACTGTTTGTATAACTAGATAAATGTATGTTTATTGCATGTTTACTCACAGCCTTATCCAGTTCAATTCCCTCTGCACCCTATAAATATGTGCCTCTTTTTTTTCTGTGCCTTGTCTTAAGTTTACAACATGTAGCAGTGACACATTACATATATATGTATAGAGAGAGAGGAAGAGGGAGAGAGAGAATTAGACAGAACCCAATAACCTTTGCTGTTTCCGTCAGGACCTCTGAGGATGGTGCACTCCTCAATGCATCCGAAGGACTCAAAAAGGCGCCGCACGTCGTCCTCACATTGCTGCTTATTCAGCATGCCAACAAAAAGTTTTCTGTCTTCTGAAACAAACACAGACAATTCATTACATATTATACAGGACAAAAAATACATCTGATGTCACAGAGCCCCTTATTCTAGTTTTACTTTATTTTATTATTAAAGATGGTAGAATCTTATAATAAAAAAGCATGAGCTAAATACTGTATGCAAACAAAAAAGCTATTTAAAAAATGCAGCAAAAACATATTAAAAGTCCCCAAAATAAACAGAAGCTCTTTAAACACCTTCACTCAATCAATCCCCTTTTTATTCAGCTAATATATCCTTTTCGGTGTCTAAATCCAGCAATCTTGTAATAAACTTGTTGGTGCCACTGTCTAATGAAATGAGTGTATGAACGAGATATCTGTGGAGAACCTTTCGTCTAGTCGACTCTGCCACCTCAGGAGTCCTTGTTTATTGTTTGTGCTTTTATTTATCAGATTATGTAGACATTATTGAATTACACATCAGCGTGAGGAGAACAAAAGCGGCATTGTTTCAGGGTTTTATTAGGCTGTAATTGCAGTGTCAATGCTGCATGTTTTAAACTCAAGACAAGGCACAGAGTTAAAAAACAAGGCACATATTTATAGGGTGCAGAGGGAATTGAACTGGATACGGGCGTGAGTAAACATCCAATGCACATACATTTATCTTGTTTTATAAACAGTGACAGACCATAGACGTCTACTGATTTTAACAAAGAATCTAAATATAAAAATATAATTCAATTATTTTAGATTAACCCGAAACCTGCTCCCAAAACGAAATAAAAAATTACATTAGCTTATTAATCTTACATTTAATAAGCTATTTCTATAGCTTTTGTGATATGGTATCACAGCCAAACATTAATCATGTACTGTAAATGCCATGGATTTTCAATTTTGCAATTATTCACTGGCACAGCATATATATTTTTGAAGATGATTTGCTAATGATTTAGCAATTTTGTTTGTTTTAATATATTTCTCAGACCCATTGTGTAGTGCATTGATGTGTAATCACAACTAAACGTTCTGTTTAATAATGCTACTGGGTTTGCCCAGGTAAACTTTCTTATATCATTACACATGAAAATGTATGTGCAATGTGTGTGAGTGTAAGTATGATGGATGGTGCAGCAGAGATATTAATGAGCACTACTGTGTGTGTTCATGTGTTTGTCCACGCCCGGTGCTCACTAACATGCTCTGACAGGGTGCCCTTGCCCAGTCAACAAGACTAATCTCCAGTCCAGAATGTTTACAAGTGCGCTGCGCATATGCGGAATGAGACAAGCACACACACACTACATAAATAAATAAAAGGTGTGCATTTTATAAATCTAAATTTTATGATATTTATAAAGCCTACAAGCACTTGCACAAGTATTAAATCGGGTTGCACCAATATGAACATGTTGGTGCATACCGATAACATACCGATATATTGGCCGATAAATCCAAATCCTAATTTGTATATGATTTTAACCTGGTTACAAAAAAAGTCTCACCATTAAAAGCCATGTCCCAAGCAATGTTCTCATTATAATTTTACATAGCCTATGACAAACTTGTGTTGAACATTGATCTGAAAATTCGAATCATATTTCAAACAATTAAAAACCACCATGGCGAACAGTGTGCATCTGAAGTGTCTCAATTGAAGGAAATCATTTATTATTTATCGGCTTTAATATATCGGCCAATTTTTCTTATTGTGCCGATAACATTAAAAAATTAACACATGCCGATACCGATATGGTGGCCGATATATTGTGCATCCCTAGTATTAAATAATAACTTGAAAATGCTATCTCATGAAATTTGTACAATGAACATTCGTTCATATTCGACATACAAAGATGGATCGTTAAATTCTTTACAATTTAAAGGTACACTGTGTTATTTCATCAGTCAATCGTAGAGGTCGGATGATAGATATCTGGAGATTCACTCGTCAATCTCTAGACATCTATCATCAGACCTCTACGTTTGACTGATGAAATGCACAACGCGACTACTGTATTTGAGAGTGCACATCCTGTTTTGTGCCAGAGTGAAGGAAATTCATCGAAATTCATCTCGCACATTACATGAATGCACTCTTGGGTCATTTGTCGTTAAAATAATGCCATAGAAACTGCCTCAAATGAACTATAAAGAACAGTTTTTAAAAGTTGCATGCGATGTGCGTGGATGGTGACCCATGCCACTGCTCTGAACATTGCCCCCTATAGGAGGCTCCCTGTATTGCCTATGCCAGGATACAGAATTTTAAGAAAAAAAGAAAGAAAAATTATATAGTCCTTTTTCCACTTGGAAAATACAAGAAACCAGCAGTGTGATACACCGAATGTGTAAAAAAAAACACCCAAAACGGCAATTTGCACGTATTTTACGTGGTGGCTAATTTGAACGAATTCATACAACCTTGCTAAATCATACATATTTTACGAGTTGCCTGATTCGTATGAATTCGCATGAATGACCTACCCCTGACCACACCCCTAAACCTACCGATCACTGAGGTTTAGACAAATCGTACTTTTACGAATTTGTATGAATTTGGTCATGAGAGAGCGTTGGATTATCCCAGCTAATAGGGAATATACTTTGGCTAACGTTCTGGCAAAGTTCTCGAAAAGTTATGAACAAACGTTCTTTTAGTAATGTTAATAGAATGTTTTTTCAAAATGATCTGGTCTTTAATAATGTTCTCAAAATGTTAGCACAAAAAAATACAACATTCATGTAATGTTTTTTTTTCTGAAACGCTTTAACTGGGCATCCCGAAATGTTTGCAGAATTATAAAATGGAATGTTCCTTTAACATTTGTATAAAAACATTTTATAAAAGATTTCAAAAACTAGACATTTTGATTGTTGAGAAATAACATTTTCAATGGGAACGTTAGCAAAACATTCATATAATATATGAATATTGTTGTAATATATATTTTTTTGTTAGCTGGGATGCTCGATATTCATTTAAATAAACCTACATATAAATGTCGAGCCCGTTCTCATCCTTTAGCGTCACATAGAACGCTATATGACAAAACGGTGCTAGACTAAGCACATGGCACCCTTTATCGTTAATATTCACGCGAACCCAAGGCGTCATAAATCCTTTCGCGTAATATGAGACTACCCTACCCTACCCTACCTCACACCTAAACCTAACCATCACAGCGCGTGTTATATTAACGATAACGGGTGCCATGTGCGTAGTATAGCGCCGTTTTGTCATATAGCGTTCTATATGACGCTAAAGGATGAGAATGCGTTGAAATGTCCTACGTGTAAATCACACTGCACATTTCCAGATAATAGTGGAAAAAAAGCTATTTTGTTTAGAAGAACAAGTCTTTCGTTTAGTATCTCTAACCAGTGTCACCAACTGTTTCCTTCCATATCCATCCTTATGACCACTCCTGCCTTCTCTTTAACTCTCTTTCTGTCTCTCACTTCCTTTCCTTGTCTTTCCCACTTTGACCTTTAGCTCTCCCTCTCCATCCCGGCGTTTCACTTTAAATGACTAGTGAATGGATCGGTCGGGGACGGCACATCAGTTTTGCCAGTGGAATCAGAGGGCTTTGCAGGGACATATATTGCGTTTTTACAGGGCTAACAGGGGGATAAATTCAGCTGTCCATCACCATGAAGACAATTGATCTGTCTAGTGTGAGTAAAGGAAGACACTCTCAATTAGAGAAAGAAACGCATGGCATGAAATGAAAGGAGAGACTGAAGGAAGGAGAGGTGCCACTATGTGTGTGTCTCGTTTTCTCTGTGGGTCCATCAATCTTGGTTATCTGGAAAACCTGACCCAAAAAGGAGGAAAAGACGAGCTATCCTTACCAAACTACTTCCACTCTGTCTGTAAGTGACGCATAGACACTCACATGCATAGTCAATGCACAGAAACTCAATCTCACACTCCCATGAACACAAACACACACACACACTTAAAAACAAAAGCTTAAAAAAACGTCTCGGTTACGCATGTAACCCCCACGTTACGTTGAGTGAGACCGACTGATGGGGAACATGCTTTACAATGGGATGACATAAAGCAGAACATTTTAAATTCTTTAAATATTTTAAGCTAATATGATTAAGGAATTTTTAAGAATGTTTTTATGATGTCATAGGGGAAATGTAAGTTCTTGTTATGGCATAAGATATCCTTTTGAAGGTCTTATGATGTCATAAAGGAACTTTTAAAGTTGTAAAAGTAAATAAAACCAAGATTATTTGTGTAAGTTTTAAAAGAAAATACTATTTCAGTCTTTCTACTTCAAAATGTCATATTTGATTTAATGTTACTTTAATGTCATTACTTTTTTAATTATTTATGCATAAATTACATACATTATAATATTTACAAGTAAATGAAACACAATTTTTTCAGTGTACCATTTCAGAACCATTTGAAATTTTTGTGATGTCATTGGATAACCTTCTTAAGTTCTAATAAATTCATAGACAAAACTTTTTAAGTTATCATGATGTCATAGGAGAACCCTTTTAAGTTCTTATGATGTCATAGGAGAGCCTTTTTAAGTTCTTATCACTTGAGTTCTAGTCACCTGATATAAAGAACCTATAATATAACATAGAGAGGTCATTAATAAACTCAAAATAGATAAATGTATTGTTTTATTAATTTATTTGTAATTTATTTGTATTAAAAACATTATTTCGTGTGATAATATTTCTATAACTACAGTCATTAAAAAATACAAACAAAAATACATTGCAACAATAATCAAAATGGTCAAATAATTAAATTGATCTTAAAAATAGTTTCTTATATCAATTTTTATATAAGATAGCTTTATATATATATATATATATATATATATATATATATATACAGTATATAGCTTATTATATTAATTTTCAACAACGATAATTATTCTCTCTCTGAATGTGTATTTCCCATCACACCACAAAATCATTTTTTTTCAATTTTATTTGTCTCAAAATAATTCCTCTTAAATAGCATAAAGAGGAAATAACATCATTTGAGTTAAGGAGCCATAAATAAAATTACTACATATATTTGTTTTCCATAAAATTCAACAAACTATCAACATTTTTTACTCTTTCTGACATGTGCAACTGTGCAAGTCTATACAAAAGTGTCTGTGAGTGGATCAAAAAGTCTAATTACCAATTTATATCTGTCGTCTATTATCTTACTGCATTTATAGTACTAGATCCAGTGCAAAACTGCTTTTAAAGGTTCCTAGAGTACGTCCAGAGCTTGGTAAAACTGCCTTTTCTTTCTATGCTCCCTGGTTATGGAATGAGCTGCAGAGTATAATAATGATAAAAACTCTCCCCCCCCCTTTAAACGTTTTTTAAAAATCTTTTATTGACCAATTTAAAGAAAATGTGTGCATCTTTTGTAAAGTAACTTTTGTTGTCAATTTATGAGTGCTGGCTAAAATTGTATGTACGACTGAGTTTTATGTCTGTATTGTATTATATGTGAAACTGTGCTGCCAATTTGGCCAGGACTCCCTGGAAGAAGAGATTTTTATCTCAATGGTACTGGTAAAATAAAGGATAAATAAATAAAACAAAAACTCTCACAGCTGTCTCTCCCCAGCACCCCCGTGGAGGGCAACAATCCGACAAAAGGAGTGACGACACTTATGTAACGCGTGTGAGGGCCGGCCCAAGATCCTCTGGGGCCTTGTATGACTGTCAGGTCTCATCGAGATGCGTCATTATATGTGACTCTTAAGAAGGGGACATCTACCGGTAATGGTGACACTGATGTAGTGTGACAGGAAGGTGGGGAGAGAAATAGAAAAGGAAGAAGAAAAAAGAGGAGTGGAAATCTACCTCCCCTGCTCTCACTGTCAGCTGGCTTCACCTGGATTGGCCTGTTCATCTGTGTAACACAAAGAGAAGAACGAGAGGGGAGGGGGGAAAGACAGGACAGACAAAAAGAAGGGGAAAAGACAAGAGAAGACATTAGATTTGTAGCACAAAACTATTTTAGCGAAGTGTTCACAGTTAGTATCAGTGTGGTGGGATCATTTGCGTCCATATAACATTGGATGAAATGCACTAAACACAAAAAGCTACTAGTAAGTTTTTTTTTTTTTGTGAGCTTAAAATGTTAAATCAAAACGAATCATAAACTTATTCTTTTAAAACGATTATTTCATGTGATGTTTTTTACATACCCATAGTCATTGTGATTTTACAAAAAAAGTACAAAAGCGAAAACAATATTTACAATGCCATAATAATGAAAATTATCAAATTAATATGAAAAGTTCTTTTTAATAATTGATCATTTATTTCTCATTAAATTCATTTTTTACTAGGGCTGTCAAAAGATTAATCGCGATTAATCACATTCGAAATAAAAGTTTGTGTTTACATAATATATATGGGTGCACTGTGTATAATTATTTTACATACATAAATACACACACATGCTTGTATATATTTAAGAAATATTTTCATGTATATACTGTATATAGATTTATATATAATTTATATTATATATATATATAAATATAAATATTTATATATATATATAAATAATATAAATATAAATATTTATATATAATAATATACATAATATTAATAATATATTTATAAATATATAAATAATATTTTTTTCTTAAATATATAACACAGTCTCATCCCAAAAAGTCATATAACTGACGTTTTGGGACGTATTTTGACCATACGTCAATATCAGCCTTTTTAGGGCCCCCTTAAACGTCGGTAGATGGCGATCCCGGGCCGTCATACAACTGACGCTTTACCTTTAACGTCAGTTAGGTGACGGGTTAGGTTTAGGGTTAGGTTTAGGTATGGGGTAGAGTTAGGATCCCATAACCTCATCTACCGACGTTTAAGGGGGCCCTAAAAAGGCGAATATTGACGTATGGTCAAAAGACGTCCCAAAACGTCAGTTATATGACGTCTTGGGGTGAGACCGGGTTGAAATATACATGCATGTGTGTGTATTTATACATATACAAAATAATTATACACAGTGCACCCACATATATTATGTAAACATTTATTTTAATTTTTTAAAAGCCACGAATTTAGATTTTCCCATTACCATTTGCCTCAAAATAATTTATTGTAAAATGACATAATGAAGAGGAAGTGACATCATTTGAGTTTTGAGGAGCCAAGTTCAAAGTTCTTAAGTTCTATGCTCATTTAATATTCATAAATTGTTGTTCTTTCATGCTTGACATATCCACCCTGGCAAATCTCATTTATTGTCAACTTTTATTTATAGAAAAGTAGTTTGAATGCTTAAAAAAGGAGGATGAAGCCATGAAATCACCATAACAGGTGAGCAGCAGCAATTGGTTTGAACTGTTCCTCCCAATGCAGCATATCTCAAAATATATTTCAACAATTAACTAGCCTATATAGAAATATAAAAAACCCCAAAATAAAATCACCTTGAAATGTTTCATAGAATGACTTATTTTTACTGCTTTCCAACAGTAAAAGTCAGAGACACAGAGCAATACAGAACAAAATATTAAAAGAAACGCATGCAACGCTCAGCACAATACACCTCATTTATAAGCACATTTGCATAAGTCTGTGTTTATGTGTATGAATGGCACCGGGATGCAAATGTGTGTATCTGTGTGTGTGTGTGAGGTCTCACTAAAAGACGTTCACAATCATAAAGCGTTTCGTTCTGCTTCCTTCACTCATGGCAGATTCCCGACTGACTCTGGCTCAATAATACATGTAATCCATGGAACGGTCTGCGGCAATCAATTTTTAATAATGCCAATTGTCACGCTGCCAGCAGGAAGACGACGAGAGGAGAGGAACAGGCCCATGCACAGATCCTGGCGTCAGCGCCTCCCGCCCAAAATAAGACCCAGACTCCACTTCTCTATCGCTCACCCGCAGCAGTTTACTCATTCTCTGCTCCACGCGCCACTTTAGCGGAAAATGAGTTGTGACGTAGTGGGTAACTTTTAATGAGCAGCTCCCTGGGCTTCACTTCTGGGCCTCCTCTCACTTCTGTCTGCTACATTGAAACAAAAAGGACAAGTCTCTGGTTGCCAAAGCCAAAAATAGAGGAAGCACAATGGCGGCGTACAGTACAGGACAAGTCAGATTAATCAAAATCACAAAATAAAATGCTCCTTGGATCCCGATCCTCTTGTATGACATTGCAATTTTACTTGGTTTAATAAAAAAGGGATATTGTTACAACCGAGCGATGTGATCACGAGTCATTTTAGCTTATTATTTTTTTATTCTATCATTGTGGCCTGCCTTTCATTTTTCAACAAAACAGTGATGAAGAAAATAGAAATGTCGCTTTTATTACTATTTTGTTCAATAAAGCAAGAGTGACAAAAAATGTAGTTCCACAGCGCTTTTACATACACTATAGCCTTCATTGCTAATATATTGACTCCCTCACTTTTAAACTTACTTTGGACAAAAGCATCTGCTAAATTAATAAATGCATTGTTTCCCGTTAATTAACATTACAGTATTAAAAGTGAACATTTGATAACAATAAGCAGAAAAATATGTATTTTTGTGATGGCAAAGCTGAATTTTCAGCATCATTAGTGTCATATGCTGCTGAAGAAGCATTTCTTATTATTATGAATCATCGTAACAGCTGTTCTGTTTAATATTTTTGTGGAAACTGATTCATTTTTTTTTAGGATTATTTTATAAAAAGATCAAAATGTATTTATTTAACATAAAAAAGTTTTCTAACGATATAAATGTCTTTACAGTCACATTTGATTGCCCCCGCATTATTAAATATGTATTTTCAAAAAACAACATTTAACTACTCCAGAACTTTTGAAAAGGTATTGCACATTTAAGAAATGAAGGATAAAGAATAAATTAATAAATGAATGAGAAAAGGAAAGCAAGGAGACCCTCTGAAAGAGAGTATAAAAGTTGCATGTGCATTTCTGTGCTCGTCCTTGCTTTTGCATATTAATGATAAACTAATTTAATAGCCTGTAATGCCAATTAAACCACCAATTATGTTTATTAAAATCATCTTTCAACTGCATATTTTACTGGACTCACAGTAGCTCGTTTACGATCTAAAATACCCACAGTGCACCTGGTCAGCGCACCTGTGGCGTCCTGGCTCCGGTCCAGATCTACAGCTCTGGGATTTCTCACTTCATAAAGTTCACTTCATTTTTTCCTGACCTGATCACTCACTCCTTATTTTTCTCCATCCCCAGCATCCTCCTCTTTTATTGGCAGTAAAGCCTGGCTAATGTTTTTAATGTGTTTTGATGCATTATTTATTTTAGCATGGCTGCTGATAGTGAGGGCGGAGGGAATAGTGAAGAGAGAGAGAGAGAGGGAGATTTGGACATAGATCGGGGTGCAGAGCAAGGGCACAGCCACACACGCACGCACGCACACACACACATACACTCTGTATCCCAGCAGGCCTCTACTCACATACATTTTAATGTTTCCCTCCCAACGGCACAAATGGACTCTGCTATGTGTGCTAATTGTGTTTCCCCAACCAGAATCTCACCACACTCATACAAGCGTTTCTTTCACACACACAGAAAACACACACACACACACACACACACACACACAAAGCTGCTAGTAAGTTTTTGCAAGCTTAAATATATTATTAATTAAAAATTAATTGATGATTTTTACATACAGTCATTGAATATATTCATTTTACAAATGAAAAAAAGCTTATCACGGTAATAAAAAAGTTATTCTATTAAAATATAAATTATTTCAAATATTTTAAAAGATATATATAAAAAAAATGTGAATTCAAAATGAATCATAAAGTTAAATTCTATGAAGAATTTTATTTATATGTATAGGTTATTAAATATTATTAAAATATTATCAATGTGTTGATTATTACATGCCAGAATCATTTTCTTTTACATATTAAAAAAGCTTAAATATGTTCATTCAAAATTAATCATAAAGTTGCTCTATTCAAATCATAAAGTTGAATAGAATAGAATCATAAAGTTAATCATTAATCATAAAGTTATTCTATTTTAATTTTTGCAAATGAAAAATTAATCAAAGTTATTCTAGTCACCAAGACTTTTTTTTTTTTTACAAATTAAAAAATCTTAAATCTTAGAATATTGTCTATAATTATAATATATGAAAATACCATAATAGTAACACAAATACATTGCCATGATAAAAAAAAAAAAAAAAGCTTTCTAAAAGTATTTAGATATTAATATTTGGAGAGCGTTTCTCACCCACAGATGCCATTTCTGCATCCCGAAAGGGGAACATGCATGAAATGCCCTCACATTCCCAGGGTGAATCTGACGTACATGTGGAATGAGATCTTGCGCACATTAAAACTGAATGTGATGGCATGTCATAAAACTGAGCTGAATGAAACATAATGTGGCATTTGGAGACATTTGTCATTGTGCTGCGCCACAGGCTTCCACATTATTTCCGAACTGTGATTTCAAAGGCCCCTAGAGGACTTTCATCCGCCACAGCTAGATGGCAGCATCGAGCAGGACAGTTTTTATCCTCCCTGAGCTCTCCACATCACATATTCTGAGAGGGCAAAACCTTTTACACAAAGAAACGGCTTCCCGCACATACGCATAAACACGAGCACGCAAATCCACTCACATACAGACTAAATCACCCATAATTCCACAAAATTACCTCTTCTTTATAAATAGGCCAGCAGCAAAACACTTTCATCTCTCTTTCTCTCTGTACTTCACCTCACCAGAAACCTCCATCTGTACAGACCTCGCCGTCCGTGTCTCCGCCACTGAGCCACAGCGTGGCACGGCCTTATGGTGATGTAACTCTCTGGCACACACACACACACGCTGGGCTAAACGGCCACAGAAACGTACGTGT